CCTCCCTCCCTCCCTCTCTCTCTTTCTTTCTTTTCTTTCCTTCCTCCCTCCGTCCCTCCCTCCGTCCCTCCCTTCGTTCCTCTGGTTCTCTGTGGTCCAGAAAAAAAAATACATGATTTTTCAACTTTATCATTATTGAGGCATATCTGTTAAGAGAAAATAAAATTGCAGGTTTGGGTCTTCCTTCCTTCCTTCCTTCCTTCCTTCCTTCCTTCCTTCCTTCCTCCCTCCCTCCCTCTTTCCTTCTTTCTTCCCTCCTTCCTTCCTTCCTCACTCTTTCCTTCCTTCTTCTCTCCCTCCTTCCTCGCTTGCTTCCTTCCTTCTTCCCTCCCTCCCCTTTTCCCTCCCTTCCTTCCGCCCTCCTTCCTTCCTTCCTTCCTTCCTTCCTTCCTTCCTTCCTTCCTTCCTTTTTTCCTTCCTTTTTTCCTTTCTTCATTCCTTTTCCTTCCTTCCTTCCTCTTTCCTTCCTTCTTCCCTCCTTCCTTCCTCACGTACTTCCTTCCTTCCTCCCTCCCTTCTTCCCTCCCTCCCTCCCTTCCTCCCTCCCTCCCTTCCTTCCGCCTTCCCTCTTTCCTTCATTCCTTTTTTCCTTCCTTTTTTCCTTCCTTTTTTCCTTCCTTCCTTCCTTCCTTCCTTCCTTCCTTCCTTCCTTCCCTTCTTTTCCTTCCTTCCCTTCCACCCTCCCTTCCTTCTCTTCCTCTCCTCCCCCTCTTCCTCCCTTCTCTTCCTCCGTTCCCCCCTTCCCCCTTTCTTTCCTGTGCAAATGGCTCACTCCTGGCTCTGCACTCAGGGATCACTCCTGGGGATGCTCAGGGAACCTTATGTGGTGCAGAGGATCAAACCAAGGCTGGCAGCGTGCAAGAAGTGCTTCACAGGAACAGAGCAAACATTTTCATTCTCCATCTTCCTCCCAGGATATCTTTCTCTTCGTGTACAGGTCCCAATTTCTGTGCTGTTTAAATTTCTTCTCTCCTCTGTCATTATTAAGTCTCTGTCCTGGATGGAAATGGACTCAACAATGGTCTTGTGGCATAAGCTAAGAAACAGTCATCAGCTCTCAATGCTCTTGTCCGGTGCAGAGAAGGTCAGAGACGACTATATTAGAGTTCTAAGGAGCCCGCAAATCAAATGTTCTTATTAGTGCGGAGAATAAAATTTGACCCAGAAAATGGACTTATCAGACACAGAGGCCACATGAGAAAACTAACCCCAGTAGAAGTGAAATCTGATATTGATGAAATTCAGTTCTATACATCAAATTCCTGCTATGAAATTTAAATGAAATTTAAAAAAAAAGAAGGGGGTCCAAAAGAGAGAACTTTCCATCCACTTGCAATGAAAAAGCGAAAAAATTGGAAATAGCTTAACGGAGCTTTATAGAAAATTGATCAAGGAATTAAGCTGACTTAATGGAGTTCATTCCGGAAAACCCTTTCCCATGGAAAATCCATCAACGTCAGCACAATTCCCAGTGACATGCTTGTCCTCCAAATGCCACTGCATGCTCTCGGTGGCTTGTCCGTGGAAGATGGGGAGGAAATTTTGGGTGCGGGTGGCACTGAGGCCATGGTGTGCCAGGGTGAGGTGGGTAGGTACCTCACACTGTAAAAATGTAAACATGACCACTACAAACTGAAATATAGTCCAGGCTAGATTGATTTACTTTTTTTGTTTTGTTTTTTGGGTCACACCCGGCGATGCTCAGGGGTTACTCCTGGCTCTGCACTCAGGAGTTACTCCTGGCGGTGCTCAGGGGACCATATGGGATGCTGGGAATCGAACCCGGGTTGGCCGCATGCAAGGCAAACGCCCTACGCGCTGTGCTATTGCTCCAGTCCCTAGATTTATTTTCAATCCATGATTCTTACTATTTTCCTTCTGATTTTATTCGTTTCTTTTATGGGCCACATCCAGTTATGCTCAGAGCTCTGCTCTCAGAGCCCACTCCTAGAGGGAGTCAGGGAACCACGTGTGGTGCTGGGGGTCAAACCAAGGTTGGCAGTGCTTGGGGCTGGAGGTCCAACCCGGGTCAGCTGTGTGCAAGGCATCTTCACCTCTGGACTACCTGTTTCCTCCTGATTTTAAAAGAAAGTAAATTGGACACCTTCACGAGCTCCTAGAAAGCACAGTGGGCCCTAACCCAGTGTTTCTCAGCCTCTTTCCGACTGTAACCCCCCCCCCCCCCTTACTGAACCTTGCTTCCTTTCTGTGACCCCCATCCTATTCGCCTGTGACACAGGCCCTGAAGCACAGCAGAATCTTCCCTGGGCATGGGGAGGAGTAGGTGGGGTGGGGGTATCTACAGAAAAGCAGACTAGGTCAGCAGGTTCCTCCTCTAGGCCAACAGCTGGGCCAAGGCCCGAAGCCATGCAGAGCCTGGGGCAGGGCATTAGAAGGGTTCACTGGATACCGTGACGGGCTTCACTGTGGAGAGACAAGGAAGCCAAGTCAGGGCTGGCGAGATCGCGCAGGGTCTTGGCAGCTTCCCTTGCCAGTTCTCCTACCACCCGCTAACTCCACGTGAGAAACCAAGGCAGCCGCAGTGTGAACTTCCTGCCTCCATCCTGGCCCTGGGCTCCCCCACCTTCCAGAAGAATCCTGTATAGGGTCTGCATGGCAGACTGTGTGTGGCATTAGGGATCAAGCCAAGGTCAGATGGACGCACGGCAAGGGTGCTATCCCACACTCTCTTAGGCCCTGCATCTGAACAGGAATCGGACTCAGCCCACGGGCAGGCTGAAAGCTGGCAAGGGAGAAAGATGGCTTTGGGTAGAGTGCAAGCAGTGTGGGGCGAGGGTCTGGTCTTTACACTCACCTCCCTTGCCTTAGAGGGCTTTAGGCTTGTCCTATTTTCCTGAATGGTGCCAGCATGGGCTAAGCCTCCTGCTGCAGGAAGGACCTCTGAGGTGGTGCTCTCTTTTCATTTTCTATTGCTCCTCGTGCCCAGAACTGGGTTCTGCTGGACCTCCCTCACCCCAGTGGCTGCCTCTAGGGCAGTGTCTTCTACTGGGAAAGGATCAGGGAAATCACACTGGGTTGTTGCTATGTGGCCTCCAGGAGTGACATACGCATGATTCGCGCATCAGATGGAAATATCAACCCAGAACCCTTGTTCACTGGGCTTAACACACTACAAAACATTTACCAGATGGAAAATGTACCTCTTGTCATCAGAATTTGAGCAGCAAACCTTTAAATTAATCGCCAATATTTTAATTCACATCTGCTTTCCATCTGACATCCTTAATGAGCAGGTCTAATGAATATCAAGGTTTTATTCCTCTATTGTCAACTATTTCTAAGTTACGATAAAGCGGACTTGTAATTTTAAAACACTGTCCATGAATCAAGTCCTACACCTTGCCATTTTGATGTGGTCTCTTCCCCCCGCCCCCCTTCAGTACCTCAAGTTCTACATTTGCCTCACGGAAATGGCACTTAGGGAGAAAGACTGGAAATCTAGCAGCTGGTGTTGGGATCTCTTTAACACCGCTGTTTAAGTGGTCATCTTCTGTTCTTTTATTGACTTTAGGTCGATCGTTCTGGACTGTTCTTCAGGGGCAATCAAAGCCCAGGGGCTCATGGAGGCTTATTATTTTTGTCCCACCCAGTCAGCGCTCAGGGGCCAGGAGTCACTCCCAGGAATACTGAGTCAACCTGTCCTGAAAGTTTGCTGTTCAGGCCTGGAAATACGGTGCTATGAAGGCCAGAGCCCAGGGAACCCCAGGGCTATGCTCAGCAGTACCAAGTGGTCATGTGGAGTCAGGATCAAACCCAGGGCCTTGCACATGGTAGACACAGACCCCAATATGTGTGTTCTCTGTGTCCTGCATGAGTAGGTTCTTGATACTCCAATGGCAGAGCCAGGGAACTGGATCTCCTCGTTCATAGTCTAGCTCTCTGCCCATCTAACATGCCTGAAGACTTGAGTTTTATGAGCTGTGTATCAACACAACCAATAGCAACCCTGTTTAGTTCATTTTCTGTGCACCTGATGCTGGTTGGAGAAGAACTGTGTGCTCTCACTATCCAAGCTGAAGTATCAACCCCTCCAGAACCTAAAATTGTGACTGTATTTGGAGACAGAGCTTTTGAAGAGTTGGTTCAAGTAAAATGCGGCATGACTCAGTTGGACTTGGTGTCTTCACAAGAGCACAGGCAACGGCACACAGAGGGTGACTGTGAAGCAAGAAATGTGGCAACAAAAGAAACCTTGATCTTGATCAGTCTCAAGAATTGTGCGTAAATAAATTTCTGTTGTTTGAAACACATCTGGCTATTCCTGGGCTGTGCTCTGTTCTCAGGAATGACCCCTGGGGATGCTCCAGAGACCATAGATGATGTGTGCGTGTGTTCAAATCTGGGTCTCCGAGGTCACAGGTGCATACAAATGCATGCGCATGCCTTACCTCCTGTGTTCCTGTCTTCTCTCTAGTCCATATTAGTAATTTTTTTTTTAATGGAAAACTAACTACAATGGTCCAGGCTGGAGGAAAATGTAGAATTTTTATTTTCCTCTACAACAAAGACATGTGAGAGAGGCCAGACTCTCCACATCACTTCAGGACTTCTTAAACTTCCCACTCGAACTTCTTTTTGAGAGAACTGAGAAATTTTCGTGACCATGGGTACAAAAAATATACAAATCAAATGTTTACTGATAATAAATCAAAAATTACTTTTACTTTTTGGGCCACACCTACAGGTGCTTAGGGCTAATTCTAGTAATGACTTGGGGGTTGCTCCTGGTGGTGCTGGGCCTCCAGTATGCAAAATATGTGTTATAGCCTTTGGGCTGGCTCCCCAGCCCCATAACATTTTAAAAGAAAAATTTCAGGACCCTCCCATTCAGTTACCCTGTCGTTAAAGACCTTTGGTGATGTCCCTCTAATGAATATTTGTTGCCCGACTAATTGTCACGTGCTGAAATGGAATGATGGTCAGAAATTGGCTGGCTGGGCTCAAATAATCTCATATGAGAAAAGACACATGTCCAGGTATATCTCTTTAAGATAAAAACTTTATTTTACAATTTTATAAAGCAGCTTTACATTAAGCACAAACAATTCATTTACTTTGTATAGAAACAAAATACCTTTCCATCTGCAAAAAATCAAGTTTCGCTGTATATAAAACTAACATGGGCACATTGTGCTTTAACTGCAAAGTCTATACAGCTTTACAAAGGACCACCCTACAGACGGGCATCCGGTAAACACTTTATTGCATATTTAACACATGGTAAACCCATATGTACAATGGAAGAGAAACAAGGAGAACAAGTACAAGGAGGATGGAAATAGCAGCTTTCGGTGAAAGTTTGCACGCTGACAAAGGAGAACTGCCACATCCAAAGAGTTGTGCTTGTGCGTGTCATTTCTCGGTTTGCTCACAGACACAGGACGATTTTGGGATGAAGCCATTATGTACAATGACCCCAGAAGGGTCAAACTTGATCTTCATCTGGTAACTTTGGGCTGGTTTTACAACTGAAGTGGCAAGAGAGTTCTTTGAATATCAAAGCTAACGCAAGATTTAAAAAAAAAACAAAAAACAAAAAACAACCCTACCCATAATCTTGAAACCAAGAAAGACATAAAGAAACGAAAGTTTAAAATACCTCCCCATTCCCTTCAAGTAAACATTTAACATGATTTTGAAACCTAGGAAACTCTGCAGGTGTTTGGGACAAAAAAGTACCACAGTGGGCATGGGCTCGCATTCCTCCTGCTCAGATCCTGCCTGCACCCCCTGCGCCATCGTGGCCAATGCTTTTCGCATATGCACGCGTACACCTGTGCACAGGTGAACCACTACACAGCTGATAGCTTAACAAGTCCCTCCCCCACCCAGGGAACTCTGAGGCACCCTCGAGTTTGAGGAGCACTGGTTCGTACTGACAATGCACGTGGCACTCAGCCTCTCTGAAAATTCCCGTATCACAGTAAAGAATCAAGTTGCTGTTGCAATGGTGGCAGGGAATGTGAAACCAACAGCAGTGAAACAGCAATGCCATTTCTAGATCAAACTCTCCTTTTCCCAAGAAAAAGGACAGTCACATCATTAAGGCACTGATATTTGTCACAGAAACAGTACCAGACAGTTTTCACCTAGTCTCTTAATCTCAAGTAACAGTGTGCAAACACAAGGTAGAAGTCTGGACAATTCTAAACAATGACAAATATGATGAAATGGAAGGGTACCCAGATTGGCGGAAGTTCAATTTTGAACATCTACATTGAAAATAAAAATGAGGGGGGTGGGGCGCGCAGCACCCACCTTCCCCCCGCGCCTCAGCCTGTGACGTCCGGAGCATCAGTGGGCTGCGGAGCAGCGCAGGGAGCTGGGCCAGGTGTGAAGAGAAAGGAAAATGAGCCTCCAGTGGGCAGTGGTCGCAATCTGTCTTTAAGCCGAGATAGGGCTCATTCTGATCTCCTGTCTGCCCTTCATCCCACCGCAGAGATGGCAGATTTTTTCATTCAGTCTCTGGGGTAAAATCGCAAGTTTCTGGAACAAAGCTTTCCTTACTGTTATAGTCCTATTGATCACTCTATTTCTGGATGCTATAAGAGAAGTAAGGAAATCTTCCGTTACTCCTGCCATTGAGAAGCGATCAGCCGGAAAACCTAGTGCCTTGGAGCATACATAGATGAAACTTTTTAGGTCTCAGAGAAATCGCCACATTTCTGGATTTTTTGGTTTTTTTTTTTCTGTTGTTGTTGTTGTTAGTATTGAGACGTCCAGTTACCCTAATAACTCAGCTGGCAAAAGAAATGACACTAAAAACAGCACTTAAAGAACAAGCAGAAAGTACTTCTGAGGCTGCCAAACAATTTATGGAAGAGAATGAAAAACTTAAAAAGATCTTGAAAGAAAAGTGGCAGGGATGAGGACACTCTTTTGGAAGAAGAAAACAGAAAACTCTTAGAAGACCAGGAAAGACTGCAAATGGAATTAAAGAAGACATCAGATGCCCTTTCTGAGGCTCAAACTGATGTGATAATAATGAAGGTGCAATCAGACAGACTTTCAAAGGAGTATGATTGACTCCTGAAAGAACACGTGGACCTTCAGGGTCATTCAGGAAAAGGCAACAAAAAAGCCTGTGAACTTTATAAAAGAAGATGATTGTGGTGTGCCATGTCAACATAATACACATGTTACCATGTCAGCCTCTGGAAAATGTCCAATTCACTTCAGAAACATGAAATCAGCCACTAAATTTTTAATACCCATACACAGGGCTGTGTCACAATGGCAGTGTGTGATGATGTTTCAGGTATATAATATACAGCCTGTATTCCAGCTCTTCAGAAAAACGCAAGCATGTTAATCCTATGAAAACATTGATAGTAACACATGTATATGGTAGCTATATGCTAATAAAGGAAAAATTTATTAGCCATTTACTTCCAGACTTAGATATTTCAGTTGCTTGAAACCATTAATAGCTTTTAAAGTTTTGATGAGCTCTGATTAATAATAATATTTTACTTAATCAGGTAATGATACTGACCAGGTACTTCAAAAATAGTAGTTAGCTGATCATAATTGTCCACAGGGAGACAGCCATACTTGTATAAAGGCTGGAAAGGACAAACAATGAACCTGACCCTTGTTGGGATTTTTAAGCCTGATATTATGGTTTACTCCAGACAGCTATAGCAATAGTTAATGTGCTTTCTGCACCCGTTGCACTGTTTTTGTTGGTACGTGTGTTGATACATAATTATAAGCAATCTATTTTTTCAAGTTCATCTAGTAAAAGAGTTTACCTATATTTGCATAAGTACTATAGCACTGAAATGGAATATATTTTTCAATAATGTGGAATTCTTAATGTAGAATACATTTTTTAAAAACATTTTTCTCATTTCTGTGAGTTACTGATTTATACAAATTTTACCTCAAATGTGCATATGCTGGTGTCACAATTTCTGAGCCATTTCTGAAAACTAAGTATTAAAAATTGTTTTTCCATAAAAAAAAGAAAATAAGAATGAAGGTGCCCAAATATTCATGTTGAGACACCTAAAATAGAAGAATTACAAAGCTTGGGAGGGGGGGACCCAAAAACCCCCCAGTTTTTGACGTGGGCAAAACAGAGTTGCGATCACATGAACTGGGGAGTTGAAACTTACTTTCCTAAGGGAAGATTACTACTACACTCATCGGAGATCTTTATCAGAAACCCTGCCCCTCTTTGTGACTGAAACACACGCACACACAGAGCATACACATATTACATGCATATGTACATACATATTTTGGACTTTCTAAGTAGCATTGGTAAGATGACTTCAGTTAAGATGTAATGTATAGGCAGCTTGTCCATCTCATTTTGACCATTTGCTGTGGGCTACAGACAAACTGCACTGGATCAGTCAGAGTCTTTGAATGGGGCAGGCTCATATGCCAACTTGTGCAGGGACAATAGTGGTGTGCTGTCACACAAGCAATTCGGTTCTGTCCTCAGGCCTAAGTTCCACTGTAGACACTGCCCCTGGTCTGGGGGTATGAAAACCTAGTTGTGTGAGGGTATGGGGGGTATAGTGGATTCTAAAAGCCCAATAAAGATCTGATTTCACACACAGCAACACAGTAGCATCACTTTCATCCAATAGTTGAAATAACTTAAAATTGTAAGGAGAAAGTGATGCATAAGGTCAATGGCTTGATGATCAAGAATAATCCAAGCCAGAAAACCCTGCGATGATTCTTGTACATAATATGTGATCTATTCTTTTTCGAGAGGTGAAAAAAAAAAGGCTCAAAGGGCAGTGGTGATAGGTTTATCAAAATAGCTAGCTCCTCCCCAAATCTGTTTTTAATAAAATTTCCAAATAATGTCCCCTCAAATGCATCCCCCCCCTCACAACACACAAACTTTTTAAGTGTCATCTGGAATGAAACACAAATTTCTACAAAAAAGAAACCATCACAGCAGGGGGTGGGGGCAGGGAGGGATAGACTATCAAACCTTTCTGATTGTAGATCAAGTTTCATACAACAGTTACCATTTTTGTCGTTTCTTGTGCAGTCAACAAGCTTCACGTTAGTTGTGCTTACATTATATAATGTGAAGCCTGAACCTGGCTGTGTTTTTAAATCACACATATTCAGAAAAACAGAAATTCAAAGTATTCTCTATACACAACAAATTGAACAGATGCACCAAATGCTCATTTGCTCTCAAGAAAGGAAATCTATAGAAAAGAAACATCATCATTTTGAATAGTTGCACACAGTCCACTCTTCAGGCTATGAGCACATATTTACTGGATCACAGCACATTATTCTCTTAATGTCTGCTTTCAACAGAGATATAAATAATCACATTTTAAAAGAGCCCCAGATTGTGTTCAGGAATAGCAACAACTCCTTACCCAAGCCCCTTCTCAAACAAGAGGGATCCGACTAGCCATGGACCTGCACGGGGCAAAGCCAAGCATCTCTGGTTCAGCCGCCGACAGAACCCACTCTAGTTGCCAGCTACATTTCCAACCACCCAACCCACGGAATGCAATGATCTCAGAAGGCTGGTTTTAAGGATCACTCGTCCCCACAACATAATCCACAACCTCCTGCCGGCCAGCTTCTGAGAGTGTATCTCCGCTCTGCCCACAGTGAGCCTGAGGTCTGTGCCTCCAGCAGAGGCTGCAATACGGTTTTGGCTGTGAGCGCTAGTTGTGCTTTGCCCTGCTGCCTTTAAGGTAGCTTTTCCATCTCTTGACAAACTCTCGGAAGATGGGGGCCTCGTCGATAGTGCTGAGGAGCTGAAGCTGATTGATGTGGGTGGTGTGGTAGTCCCAGCGCGCCAGGTTGGGGGCGATGCCGAGCATGAAGTGACGGAGGTCATAGATGGTCCCTGAGCCAGTGTCATAGAGGGGTAGCATGGCCTTCAGGGACTCCATGCCCCGCTCATATAAGGACCTCGCCTCTTTACCCAGTTTTTCCCCTGCGGTTTCTTTTAAGTCGTACAGTCCAATGAGAGAATACATAAAGCCATTTAGAACGAAAGAGCTAGGGGTGGTTGGGTATTCTTCATACCAATCATGTTTATTCATGAACACAGCTTTGACTCCATGCTGCTCGGAGAGAAATTTGTAAGGGGCTGTCGCCCTTAAAGCTGAATTGAGGAATAAGTGGTCCTTTGTTAGCACATAAGCCCTGACTAGGGTCGAGATGGCTTGTCCTTGGGCCATGGCCGAGTACCACCCTGGCTCTAAAGACTTGAACCCTTCCCCTAACTTACGGGTTACCATGATTGGCCAGCCACCTTTCTCATCCTGGTTCCTTACCAGCCAATCACTGGCCGCAAAGAAGGCAGCCATGTGTGCTGTGGTGGAGATGGTGATGTTGTCGAGGAAGCCTTTCCCTTTAGCGATCAGCCTGACCACCTTCTTGGGCATGATTTTGGTCGGCCTAACAGCTTTCGTGTTGGAGAGCCCCACTCCTTTCCTGAGGTCAGTGATCAGGTCCCTGGTGACTGTGCTCCAGGAGGTCCTGGGCCCAATGCCGTAGTAGATGTCTCTGTCCTTCAGTGCAATCAGCTGGGTGTTGGAGACATAGTGTACTGTGAAGAGCTGATTCTTCTCCGTGGTCTCTAGCACCACAGACACACTCCCATTTGTCAAGAACTTGAGGTCAAATGAAATAATAAAATCTTTTGTGTTACCCAGTTGCAAGGATACACCCTCACTGGTTTCTGCAGGGGAAAAAATACAATGACGGGTTAGTCTAAAACAGAGGTTCCCACACTTATTTGGACTTTTCAGAAAAAAGGAAAAAGACAACTACCTACTAGGAGCCCCCCTGCAAAACTACATTATTTAAGTAAACAAAAAGTATCATGAATCACACCAAAGCTGCTCTCTCAACACACACACACACACACACACACACACACACACACACACACACACACACATATACACACCTCCCACCAACACCGATCCAGAACCCTTTCTGGGGGGGAAGAATTATTCATCTGAGGAAACATTAGATTATTTGCATATAAAGCACTAAGATGCTCGACTCCAATTCGAGTAGGCTTGGAGGTCTCGGCCCCGGAACCCGCGTGGCTTTGTCCCTCTGCCAGTACCTTCAGGTGTGCGGAGAGTGGTCTCAGCATGGTGGTGGCTGGTCCTGGAGGTCTCCGGCTGCCGTAGCCCTGGCCGGGGCGGGGAGGAAAGCTCAACCCGCTCCCCTCCAAGGGACTCCGGGAAGGAACACCGAAGCGCGGGGGCAGAGACTGCACTGCTCTCGTCCGGGATCTGGATTTTATAGTCTCTGAGTCTTGGCCGCTGATGGGATTACACGGCGCCAGGGGGCCAGGTGGTGGGTGTGACCCCCGCCTACTGGAATTTGGAGGATCTGGGTGGAAGATGCTCGACTCCAATTCGAGTAGGCTTGGAGGTCTCGGCCCCGGAACCCGCGTGGCTTTGTCCCTCTGCCAGTACCTTCAGGTGTGCGGAGAGTGGTCTCAGCATGGTGGTGGCTGGTCCTGGAGGTCTCCGGCTGCCGTAGCCCTGGCCGGGGCGGGGAGGAAAGCTCAACCCGCTCCCCTCCAAGGGACTCCGGGAAGGAACACCGAAGCGGGGGCAGTCACACCCACCACCTGGCCCCCTGGCGCCGTGTAATCCCATCAGCGGCCAAGACTCAGAGACTATAAAATCCAGATCCCGGACGAGAGCAGTGCAGTCTCTGCCCCCGCGCTTCGGTGTTCCTTCCCGGAGTCCCTTGGAGGGGAGCGGGTTGAGCTTTCCTCCCCGCCCCGGCCAGGGCTACGGCAGCCGGAGACCTCCAGGACCAGCCACCACCATGCTGAGACCACTCTCCGCACACCTGAAGGTACTGGCAGAGGGACAAAGCCACGCGGGTTCCGGGGCCGAGACCTCCAAGCCTACTCGAATTGGAGTCGAGCATCTTCCACCCAGATCCTCCAAATTCCAGTAGGCGGGGGTCACACCCACCACCTGGCCCCCTGGCGCCGTGTAATCCCATCAGCGGCCAAGACTCAGAGACTATAAAATCCAGATCCCGGAACATCTTATTATCTCATTCCTACTTTGGACAAACTGCAGGCTGTCGAATGTAGCCTGCCCACAGGGCAGAGTCTGGCAAACTCCCCGTGGCCTACCAAATATGCCAAATACCAGTAACAATGATGGGTCTCATTCTCCTAAAGAGCCCTGAATATAATCTCAGGGCTAGGATGAAAGAGACGTTACTGGGGCCTGCTCGAGGCAATCGACGATTAACAGGATGATGAAATGAAAAAATGAAATGAAAAAAAAAGCACTAAAGCCGTTTGGAGATAAAAGTCTACTGCAATTTGTCCTTGACGGCCGTTAACATAATTCATACTTCAATATGGTGCTGTCATTGTTACTACTAATGTCACCATGAACAAGGGGCTGGAGTGAGAGCAAAGTGGATAGGGCACTTGCCTTGCATATGGCCAACCCAGATTTGAGCCTGGTACCCCACAAGGGTCCCTGAACAACACAGGAGTGATCCCTGGGTGCAGAAACAGGGGTAAGCACTGAGCACTGTCAGGTGCAGCCCCCAAACAAAAGAACCAATAACAGGAGCCAGAGTGATAGTACAGCAGTTAGGTGATTGCCAAGCACCAGGTTCCATCTCCAGAACCCCGTAAGCTCCCATGAGCACCTGCAGGAATGGTCCCTGAGTACGGAACAAGGAGTAAGTCCAGAGCACTGCCAGGTGTGGTCCCTAAACAAAACAAATACCACCACCTACACAACAGTAAAGTAGCCAAAAATGAAAGAACTAATGGGTCCATGAGGAACATCAGGCTGAGCTCTTATCACATGGCCTGTCTGGCTTATGTGGGAGGGTTAAGCGCAAATGGCGCTGGTACTGTGGATCAAACTGTCATTCCTAGATCAAATGCCTGTTGGTGAATAATCAACAACTATTTCAGCATACCCATTCTGAGAAAGAAATAACCAGAAGTTGATTCAGCAAAGACAGAGGCTGGTTATACATGAATCAAACCTTTTGTGTTTAAGGTTAATCGGCATTTACCATGCTCTAAGTGCTTTTGACGGATTAATCCCCATTAACAATTACTATCATTATTTAGCTTTATGAGTGAGGAACTGAGTTAATATTCTAAGGTGTAAAGAATGAGACCCTAGTTGCTTAGTCTGAATCAATAATACCTATGCTTACTCACTATTTGACACTGAAAATGACAAATTTTTTAGACTTTTGCAGGGACTGAGACTTGTTTAATTTCTGGAAACTAAGCAGTGGACTCATGTATTTAACGAAATGTGAGGGATACTGGGTAAAAAAGAGAAGCATGGGCTTGAGATTTTAAAAGTAAACAAAGCCTTGTTTGATTTCCTAATCTACTTCCTACTATGTATCTAAAACTTACTGGCTTTGATATAATCAAGTTCAATCCCTTGAGTCTCAGAGTCTTCACTGTTAGGGCTGACATTATTTTGCAGGGCAATTGTGAGGATTAAGGGAAAAAAACATAGTGGCTTAGGACATAGTAATAAATGATAGTGTTTATTATTATTGGCTTCAGAGGCTAATAAGATAAAAAAAAAAAAAGCTGCTTTATTTGATGAATGATCAAACAGGAAATTTCTCCTGCACAGCTCCATGGTGGCTGACTCTTAGAAAGATGACTATCTAAAGAGGGCTGATCTAGGTCTACAGAGAGCACATTAACACCAAACAGCAGTGAGGAGAACAATGACAAAAATACACGTGGCACAAATTTTAAAGGTGAACCAGGAAATGTAAAGGTAGATACAAATATCCAGTACAAATATTAAACTATGAATATCTCGATCTTTACGGAACCTGTTCTCAAAACACATTCATGTCCATTATCTCATTTGATCCTTCCAATATCCTTCCCGATCTTTCAATCTGATCCTTCTGAGGTGGGTGGGGCGGGTCTGATGCCTTCCAGTTTGAGACAAGGTATGGAGGCTTAGCCACGTTAAAAGGTCTAATCCAAACCATGTTCATTAATTAGTGGTCACGCAGGACTGTACTTCCTGATCTCGGTCTGAAGAGTGTCGGACAGAAAGTTAGAAATGGTCCCCTCACCTGACAGTGTGGAAGAGCCTCCTAGACATGGCCAGGGGCTGGGGTGAGCCCAGCAGTGCTGCAGAAAACCTGCCCCTGTGCCACCAGGAGCCACATCTGGAAATGTGAGCAGGTGACACAGTATTTTTCTGCTGATCGAGTCCTGGCCAGTGAAATGACTGTTGCTGCTCCCAACCCTACACTCGAAGCGTGTGAATGAGACTGACACCAGAGGCCTCGGGCCTTGATTCCACAGGGCAGGCGATCACAGAGTTGGATGATAACGTGAACATATTCACGAACTTTGGCTACTTTTTATTTCTTTTTGCCATACCCGGCTATGCTCAGGGATCACTCCTGGCAATGCTGGGGGCCTCTGTGTGCTGCCAGAGACTGGACCAAAGTTAGCCAATGCAAAGAAAGTGCCTCGCACCCTGTATTTCTCTCTGGCCCCTGAAGGACTTTTTAGAAAGTGGTTTTGTGCTCACAGAGATGGCTCCCACGACTGGAGAGCATACTTTGAAAATAGAAGCCCAGGGCTCAATCCAGGCCCTACATGGTCCCTCTTCCCACCTCCAGGAGGGGTCTCCCGAGCACGCAGTAGGGAGCAGTCCCCATCTCTCAACCCTCATACTATGAGGACTGTCCTAAGCGGCCCCTCCAAAGTGATATTATTGTTTTTATTTGTTCTGGTTTTGGAGTTACACCTGGCAGTGCTCAGGGTTTACTCCTGGCTCTGAGCTCAGGAATCACTCCTGGTGGGGCTCTGGGGACCATATAGGATGCTGGACATCAAACCTGGGTTGGCTGTATGCAAGGCAAGCATTTTACCTGCTGTACTATCTCTCTAACCCCCTCAAAAGGATACTTCTAAAATACTTTAAAGTTCTATTTTATCTGAAAAATATCAACTTGTAATTTTTCATTTAACTAGTATTTTTCTGCACTTACAGTAAAACAGAATCTAGGTTAGAACAGTCCTGAAACACTGCCAGATTCTGAACTGATTATGGATCACTCAAGATGAAATTATATTCAGCAGAAAAGAACTCTCTTGAGTGCTTATTTTTTCATTTTAGAATAATGTCTCATTAATCAAACCTATTAACTATGACATCATTTTCACCAAACTGGACAAACATCTATCTTTTGTCATCCAGATGGGAGAAAACTGAAGAAGTACCCAGAACGTCTTTCCCAGAATTTGATTCTAATTTTCACTCTATTTCTATGCATACAAATCCAATAAAATGACCCCCTTGTGATTCAATACAGCAGACCTGCTGGAAGAACTCAGTAATGAAGCCAAGGAGCTGGGAACTGAAAGGAGGGAAAGTGGTACCCATGACACCCTTTCAGTAGCAGTGCCTACAAGGAGGCAGGTGGGAAACTGGGCCACTGGGGAAGGGACTGGTGCTGGGACATTATGCGACTGAAACTCAATCATGGATAACTTTATAACTTTGTAATTCATGGTGATTCAATGAAAAATAAAAAACAAAAAACAGTCCCAAACCAAAAACACTATTTTTCTAAAACTTTCACCACCAAAAGAGGGCACTAGTGAGTCACAAAGGAGAAGTCGCAGAAAAGTCACCAGCCTCAGTTTCAATCTATCAATCACCAATCATAAGTCTTTACAGAAATCTTGTGAAATAGGTTTTTAAATCCCCATATTAGGGCTGGAAAGATAGTACAATCCCTGGCATCCCATATGGTCCTCTGAGCATCACCATGAGCGATCTCTGAGTGCAGAGCCAGGAGGAACCCTCAAGCATTGCTGGGAATGGCCCAAAGACAAAGAAACAAACAGAACACCAAAACACATTTAATCTCTCTACCTACCTACGTTTGGGGGCACTTCCTGTGCTTGGGTCAGCAGTGCTTGGGCATGTCCTCTTGGAGGCCACTAGGGTCATACCCAGTGGTGTGTATGTGTGTGTGTGGGGGGGAATATGTGGTGACAGGAACTGAACTCGGGGCCTACCACATGCATAGCATGTGCCCTACCTCTGAAGCCCCATCTGAAGTCCTTAACTCCACTCAGCTTGATCTGAATGGGAGTGAATGGAGTTGATTGTAATTGTCACAAGCATTCCAGAAAGATGTCAGGCCAGGCTCTTCAGCTCTGCTGGAGATTTTATACTACCTGAGGTCCTCTGCTGTAAATCCAAGAGAAGGCTTAAGTTTCCTACTGCCTGGAATCCAGAATCCCAGCGATCTGAGAAATTATTCTTAGGAGTGACTAGAAATCAATCTGTGAGTACGTGTGAAACTACGGGTACACATACATTAGGCAACCAAAAGAAGAAACACGTAAGAATGGTTTTTAAAGCAATGTTGCCACATGAAAATTATCATCATTTTTCCTTTTAATCAACATGTTTACTGCGTGGTGAGGCCCTATTCAGAAGATCCAGAATCTCTGAGAGGAAAGGGTTAGGCAGAAAAAGCGACGCTCACAAGAAGTCTGAAGAACAGATGTCAACAGAAGCCAGCGAAGTCATGGCAATGAAACGAAAAGCATGCGTGGGGGAAGGGAAATGCAATCAGGTAGGACAGGCAAAACATTCCCAGCTATTCCATTTTAAAATGAGTAAGGATAAAAAATTTTAGCAAATGAAACAAACAAACAAAAAACAAGCCAAATATTCTTTCCCATATATTGTTTCCTTGCAGGGGGAAAAACACCTAAGGATCCCCCAGAAAGAAGGCAACAGCAGGGGCTGGAGCGATAGCACAGCGGGTAGGGAGTTTGCCTTGTAAGTGGTCATATGCAGCCGACCCGGGTTCGATTCCCAGCATCCCGTACAGTCTCCCAAGCACCACCAGGAATAATTCCTGAGTGCAGAGCCAGGAGTAACCCCTGAGCATTGCCGAGTATGACCTAAAAAGCAAAAAAAAAAAAAAAAAAGAAGAAGGCAACAGCATTCATGCTCTGGGTCTCCAGACCATCACCTTTATGTATGAGTACGTATTTCATCTCAACAATGTCTCTCATGGCTTTATACACAAGGAGGTTGATCGTCTCCACAAAATTTCACCGTCCATAGCTATGCCTCAGTCAAGTCTCACCTGACTTGCTGCTCTGAGCAATCACTTTTGCTCTGAGCAATCACTCCCGGTAAAACTCCAACTCAGCTCTCCCAGACATCTGCATCCAGTGTACTCCGGGAACCCCCACAATATCAGAACAAGCACTCCATTGTCAGCGAATAAACCCCACCAATAAGGGATCTCTGCTCTGAGCATCTGAAGTGCCACGAGTAGAGTAATTGTTGGAGCTCTCAATTTCATCTACCTAGAATCACCCCTGAGCAATGAGTCTGACCTCCAGATCTGCAGAATGAAGACAGCCCCTTAGTTTGTGGGGACCAAGCTTTTGTGTTATCTGAACTATCCAGGAGTGCACTCTGAAAAACATAGAGTCTAAGGGATTCAAACAACTTCTAGACAAGTGGGAGATAACTTTCCAACAGCTCAAGAGATCAGAAAAAAGTTTTCACCATAACCACGTTTTTAACTAGTGCAAAAACAAGTACCTAGGGTACACAAAAACCAAATTTCCCTTTATTTCAACTCTGTCCTGTTGACATGCAGGCAATGCTCAGGGATTACTCCTGTAAGCTCTTCAATACCACAAATATTGAGTACTGCAATGTACTGTCCTCCCATTGTTCATCAATTTGCTCGAGCGGGCCCAGTAATGTCTCCATTGTGAGACCTGTTGTTACTGTTTCTGGCATATCGAATACATCACGGGTATTCTTAAATATTTTCAGTCCTTTATCAACCAACCGAGTCTACTGTTTTGTAATAAGCAAACTGTGCTGTGGAATAGAGTATCATGGAATACCAAAGAGAGAAGAAGTTTTAGTCACAGAATAACAACTAAAGGTCACCATTATTTGCACTGCACTCAGCAGTCATAAATCCATTACTTAAGGACATCTAGAATGAACAGATTTGTATCGTGGCTTTCAAGGTCTCTGAATTACAGCCATTAATAAAGGACAAGGAGAGAATACAGAAAAATATCTCCTAACCTGGCCTCATTTTCCTTTCCTGTCTTGCAAGATTCTTGGGAGCAGGGAACAAATGCTGCTTTTGACAATATTTTTCTCATAGAGAAGCCTGAGGTGCTATAATTATTTCTTTATCTTTATAAATAATGGATTCATTAATCCTCATGGATATTGATTTGTGGAGAAAAATCCATCCTAATTAATGAGACTATCTTCGTAAAAGGAGAATGTTGCATAAACTTAACTTGATTTTAGAAATGATTTTATAATGAAATGGCTTTATACTAAGTTTGAGACTGTCATTGTCACTCCTCCCATTGTTCATCGATTTGCTCGAGCGGGCCCAGTAACTTCTCCATTGTGACAATTGCTACTGTGTTTGAGACAATCCAGTAAATTAAGAAAATTCAATATGGAAAGTGAGCCTGTTTGGTAATGTTAGATGATCTTGAAAAAAGTAAAAGCAATTGGTTAAAAATAAAGCAAAGGAAAGGACATCTGTGACCATAAAGAAAAATTTGTCCCTTAGCGTGAAATAGGGTTTTTTCTTTAAAAAAAAAAAAAAGTTCGGGCCACACTGAGGACTCCGTATGTGGTACTGGAGATCAAACCTGGGTCATCAGTGTGCGATACAAGGACCTTACCTATAGTACTCTCTCTTCAGCCTTAATGTAAAATAGCTTTTTAAATGTTTGTTTTGGGGCCACACCTGGCAGTACTCAGGGCTTACTCCTGGCTCTGTGCTCTGAGATCTCTCCTGGTGGGGTTCAAGCAACCATGTTGGCTGCTGGGGATGGAAGAGAGGTTGCTTGTGTGCAATGCAAGTGCTTTATTCGCTGTACTATCTTTCTGCCCTGGCCCCCTCCATTGTTTTAAAATTAAACAATGCTAGGACAGAGCATGTAGCTTAGTGATAGAGCGCTTATCTGACATGCCTGAAACTCTGGGTTCAATCCCCAGCACCATCCTATCCCCCCAAAAAACTAAAGAGAGCCTTACTGAAATGGTAAGATAAACTATGGAACTCTGTCATTGTTGTGAATCTCTGTAGGGAGACACACACTGTGCTGTAATCTGATCTGAATATGCATTCTATGGCCAGGCCCCATACAAAGTAAACATTCCTTTTATAACCCTGAATATAACCCTGTTTTTCTTTTGGATAGTATCGTTTATTTCGACCTGGAACATAAAGGGCCTGCTCATGCGTCTTTTAAACTGTATGAACAATTTTATGAGAGTAGCAAATGCTATAGAACATGAAATGAGTGTACACACATGCTTTACCTGGAGCAATGAACTGCTTGACATTTGTAAATCGAGACTTATCAGCCACACTCGCCACAAAGCAGCCTTTTGGCACGGTCCAGTCATTAGGCTTGCTGTTTCTGTCTCTGTCTTCTGCGGTTTCATAAACCTCTATGTGAGGAGGTTTCTCAGTCAGATTCTTGCTGTAATGACTTAACCCATATTGTGCAATCTGGATTGGGTAGAAATAGCCTTGTGGGCCCCACTGTGTAGATAAAGGTACACCTAGAAAACAGAGAAATCCAGCAAATAACCACAGGCAGGTATCAGATACAAGCCTATCCCAAACACTACCCCTCACTTTTAATTCTGGGATATTATTAGGTGTAGCGATCATTTTTGAGCTCTGCTGTTTGCTGTTTGCATGATTTCTAAAAGTCTGCACTGAAATTAATCATATTTAAACAAAGTCCCATGTCTATTCTTGTTAATAATAACTGGATAAGATATTGTAGATTATCTGTTTTTGTTGCTGTGGCTCAGCAGTGGTGCTCAGGGCCTACTCCTGGCTCTGTACTCAGGGATCGTTCCTGTGGGGCTCTGGGGATTGATCCTATGTGGTGCCAGGAATTGAACCTGGGTTGGTTGAATGCAGGCACGAGTTTTACTTACTGAACTATCATTCCAGCCCCTGTAAATTATCTTTGAAGGATAATTTTTGCACTCACACTGATTTATAACAGTCTGAATTTCACAGGTCTAGCTTCCATAAGTGGATCCTGCCGTAGGCTCATTCTCGCCACCCCACAGCCAAAGACCCTGCTCCTAATCCTCCTCTAATCTCTCCCCTTCCCCTCTGGTTACCACCACAGATTGCACTGAGTTTCAGAACTAGAACTAGATTTTTTTCCTTCTTTTTCTGCCAGCCAGCTTGCTTTAGTTTAAGTTTAGTTTAGGAGCTTTAGTTTAGTTTAAGAACTGATTCTCATGTATTTTATTTTTACTCATAAAGTTAACGATATCTTGCTTTGTAAATCCTGCTTCATATATTTAGACTGATAATGCTATCACAACTTCCTTTGTGAATAACTGATCTGAACATTTTATTAAATATTTGTATTTAACAATCAAGTTAATTACGTATTAATGTCCCCTGCCAATGTTGGGATATTGCTTAATAGGCTACCATCCAATGGGTAAATTGTTTAACACGTCATTTGTAACTAAGCACTTTTAAACATAGTTTGAGATCCTTTTTTTATACTCTTCATGTCAAAATGTAATTCCTGAGAACAAAAACTTAAAATTAAAGTTTAATATTTATCCATAAAATCTGAAGTAATAAGGAGTACTTCTTATACAGTTCCAAGCAAAACTTATTAAATGCTTGCTGTTACTGGTTAATTTATTTTATGGGAAATACAATAATATGAAGTGGACAAGTACATTTTACTATTACATTATATGGTATGCACGTATTAAGAAAGAAACTATCTGTAGTTCTCAAATAAACTGAACAAGTATTAGATGGGCATAGTAAAGACTATGAGCCTGGTAACTGCATGATTTAGGATGCAGTTTCAAAACAGTTTAAAGAATTGGGGACCACCAGGCTTAAAAAGAAAAATAAAACCTAGAGTACTGGTAAGACTGTCAACGTTTATAACTTTTTTTTTAAGAATAGAGATTTTTCAAAAAATCAAATGAAGTTTTCAATTAGAAGTTTATTTATATCTCAAAGATGAATGACAATAATGTACAACTGGCATAAGAACCAACTGAGACTATTAAAAAACAGTAGTTTTACTTTTGGGAGGAGGCATTTTGGGTACACCAGATGATGCTCAGGGGTTACTCCTGGCTCTGCACTCAGGAATTACTCCTGGTGGTCCTTGGGGAACTCTGTGGCATGCTGGGGATCGGCACTGAGTTGGCCATGTGCAAGGTAAAATGCCCTGGCCACTACTATCTCTCTGGGCCCAGTAACAAGCTCTTTCCTTAAAGTGGTAAGAATATTAGAGAATCTGGCCATTTTCATCTTTAGAAGAAACAAACGATTAATGATCTTATTAAAAATTTAATAGAGTTGGGCAGTCATTTTATTAAAAAAATGAGGAAAATAAAATGAAATTAAAACCAAGTAATCCTGCACTGTTTCAATTTTAGTGTATGTGCTGCCGAAGAGAGCACAAAGCCAAGTTATCCTAAAATGTGATGCTTCCCCATCACTGAAGAACTTAAGGTCAAACTCAGCTTTCTGACCAACGCTAGGTTGAAAATACAAACTGCAAAATGTACAAATTATATGTAAAAGAACGCTAATATTGACTGTCCCAAGTTTTCTGAAATTTTTGGCTTTTGCTGTAATGATGCTCAAATGTGGTGATGCTCAGGGATTACTCCTAGCTCTGTACTCTGAGATCACATCTGGGGTTGCTCAGGGGAATCTATGAGATCCTGGTGATGAAACCAGGGTTGGCAACAAGCAAAGCAAGCACCTTACCCGCTGTACTAGCTCTCTCACCTCTAGTCCAAGTCTTAAGGACAATAAAAGGCGGTATGTGATCTACTACAGTTAGAGAGAATGGTGTCTGTGTGTTCTGTTCTGAGGATTGTGAATCTTCCAGAGAAGGTACCTGGCTAATCTCAGTACCAAGACTGCACTGGTAAATCCATGGGTCCACTGAGGGGAGTGGGTTCACTTTTTCCTATCTCCTCTCCCAGGATAATAACTATTTATTTTAACACAGCATTTCTGCAGCTGTTCTGCTTTGACCTTCCTGCTATTCAGGTTCTAAGGCAGGCTAATGCAGTAATCCTATTTCATTGGGTATGATCTTGCTGCAGTCTTAAAATCATACCTGCTAGAAAGCTGCCTTAGTTTTAGAGTTAACCTTTTCCTCCCTGCCAAGTCAGATGGATGAAAGACCCCTGAAGGATAAGCAATGCATACACATGCTTTATTACTAACACAATCAAGTCAGACAAATACAGCCCAGGGGAGCAGACAGATACCTACCTTCAACCCCACTTATACACTTGACTCTGTCTCGAACTTCCACATTGTAGCCCTCAAATGACATAAACACACCATCAGGGTGGTAAGGGGCTCGCTGTGCATAGACTTTGGAATAGCTGTGAGAGAATTCAAACCGGTCATAGCCATCATACTGAACCACCTTTCCATAAACATCAAAATACTTCTCGACCCAACTGAACGGCAGAAAGACTTCATTTCCTTCTCTTCTCCCTTTGATTGTGTGTTCATCATTTATGAGGCAGTCAATTTCTTCATATTTGAGCCCCAACACCTTGTTCCCCCCATTACTATTGAAGCCTCCAACGACAGGTGGTGCCTTCTGCTGCTCCTGCAGAAACGCCTCGTCAGATTGCTGCTTGCCCAGGTGGTTCACATAGCTGTTACTTTCTGATGCTGCAGCTCTCTTCTCGAAGCCATCCACTCGGAAGCCACCACTCAAGTGTCGAGAAAACTGGATTGCTTTGTCGCTGGAACATTTATTCCATAAAAGTACTGTGACCAAAGTGAAGAGTGCACAGATGATAATCAAAGTCTTATAGTTGACCCGAGCTGCCAAGCAACGCATATTCAGACCATACCTAGTGAGAAGCCAGAAGAGAAATTCAGGCAAAGATGCATTATTGACTTATTACATAAGGTAATACGCTGTTACCTTACCTTCTATGTGTTTTTCTTTAAATGCTGAATCACAAGAGGGAAATTTCATCTGACCAGATTCATAACTACTAACTTGAACTTTCCATCCTACACAAAAGAAGTGTTCCTGATACTGTTAACATATCCCAGACTGATTCCCACACTTTCTGTTTGCGGCTTCCTTGTTATCTCAGTAAATTTTTTCACAGTGCTCCTAGATCAAAAGAAATACCCTAACAGTTTCATTTGTGAAGTAGTTGGGTGCAAGCAATTTAATACAAATTTACATTGTACCAACTTACCACCTATTAAAAACTGTAACAGATCTTGTCAACATAAATACCACAAGCAACTACACTGTCAAATTGAAGTGAGTTTTTAGTGCTTTTATCTGACTTTTCAGCAGCAAAAAAATAGTGTCTTTTGAAACACATCCTTCCACAGGTTCTAGGGAATCATTCTTTCTTAGTTCTCCTTAGATGCCACTGACAACTTCTCAGTCATCTTTGAAAATCGTTCCTTCTCATCTCCCTGGATTGTAAATGTTGGAGTGTCTTAGATCTAAGGACTCTTTTGTCTTTCTCATTGAATCTCATGTCTTTATGTGCAGTTACGATCTCACTGAATCTCCTATCTTTATGTGCAGTTTTATAGGTGGTCTACTTCCATAATGCTATCTGCATGCCAGATTTTTCTTCAGCATTCTGACACATTATATCCAAAAGGCAATTCAAGTAATTGACATTTTTACTTGCAAGTCAGAAAGACGTTAGAGGGGGCTGGAGCGATAGTACAGTGGGTAGGACATTTGCCTTGCATGCAGCCGACCCGGGTTCGATACCCAGCATCCCATATGGTCCCTTGAGCACCGCCAGGAGTAATTCCTGAGTGCAAAGCCAGGAGTAATCCCTGTGCATCGCTGGGTGTGACCCAAAAAGGAAAAAAAAAAAAGACTTTAGAAACCTAATATTCAAAACTTCCAGTCTTGCCCCTGTAACCTACGCTTGCTAATATTCAAAACTTCCAGTCTTGCCCCTCTTCCTACGCTCAGAGCACGTTTTTAATCTAATCAATCAGGAGACCTTGTTGGGGTCACCTTCTAGGGATACCCAGAATCTGGCCTCTTTTCACCAACTCATCACCACTGTGGCAGAATCAATGGCATCACTCACTTGGAATAACGAAGTGATATCTAAATTCATCTCTCTGATTCAACTCTCATCCTCTCTTCTATTTGATTCTATTCTCAACACAGCAACTAGATGAATGCTTTTATTACAATCACTTTGGTAGTGGTGGTTATTACTGTTGCAGTGTTCAGGGGATACACTTAGTGACACTTAGAGGTTGCCAGGGTCACACCTCAGCAATGCCTGGGGACCATACCATGTTGGGGACCAAACCCAGGGTCTCATATATTCAAGACAGGTGCTCTACCCCTTGAGCCACATTCCTGGCCTCAGAATGATGCTTTTAAGTGCAATTAGGTCATTCCAAAAGTCATGCTGGGAGAAGAATTTGGACCTGGTGCATTTAAAAAAAACAAATGATTAAAAAAAAAAAACAAATGAAACAAAAATACAAGGAGTTGTGATTGCAAGCACGTATGTAGTTAGGGTGCAGTGTGCCAGTGAAAGGGAGTGGTTTTGTGAGCATATGTGACTGTATGATGTCCGAGTCACTATTTCAGCTCTCAGTGTGCTTTCTTACGGCCTGTGTTTTCTTACTCTTGCTTAATGGGGCTATTCTAGACCTTCGTGCTGGTAGTTTTCCTTGCATCTCTGATCTTCAAATACTCACTCATCTTCAGCACAGAACGATTCTGGAGTAGCATGAATATCCTCTTCCGGTACAGATGGTCTGTGTTTTGGCTAGATTTTGAGTGCAGCTTGGGGTGTCGGGCAGAGGCCCTTGGGCAGTGCTCCTTCCAGTAGAATGGGTGAGGAGCCAGCAGGCCTCTACGTGCCAGAGCAAGAAGGCGGCTATTCCTTTTGTTCTGGTGACATATATTCTCAAAAGCTTGAGCTTTCCCCGATTTCTTTTTTAAAAAATAATCTTCCTGGTGTTTTACCTGAGGTTTATGCCAGCCATCTGCACTGCAAGTGTAGTAGTAGGAGAGGTCTTGTGTAAGGAGTGGTTATGTGTTCTGGGCTTGATCAGAGAGCCAGAAATCAGTTTAATTATCACTCTCTTTTGTTGGGGGGGGGGGTCCCACACTGGGTGAGGGATGAGGGAGGGTTCCCTTAGGATCACCCCTAGCAGTTCTTGGGATGTGGTGGGAGGGATGTAGTGCCAGGGCTCAAGGCACGTGCTCTACCTACCATTAGGTCTTTGTACTTACTATGGTCTTTGTACTTAACTATTTGTACTTACTATTTGTGTCTTCACATACATACCGTTTATACATACATACATACATACATACATATACACACATATGTTTTTTTATTTGGATGTTGTATGGGAGTGATTCCCAGCTTGGGTTTTTGGAGGTTGCTTATGATGGTGACTAAGGGACCATATGGTGTTAGGGATCAAAACTGGGGCTTCTGCACTGCATGCGAAGCATGTGTTTCCATCTTTCAAACCAGCACTCTCCAATGCTTACACCCATAGAACAGCACCTGGCCTGTATATTGGGTGACAGACCACCAGTTTATGATCACTGCATACTGCAGTGATTCTCCACCTTTCTACCCCCAGTAGACTGGGGCTGTGGCCAGTCCACAAGCCAGCAGTTGAAGCCACTGCTTCCAGCCATCACTGTGTTTTCATCTCATCTTTCTGTACATTTTATTTCTATATATTTTATCAGGAGGAAAAGGAAGCAAAGTTATGGGTTTGGTCTGTCTTGGATATGATACTCAGCTTTTAAGAGAAATCCAATTACACATTTTATCACCTGCATTTTTTGCAAAGAAAAAGTATCGGTGTGGCATAAAAAAAACCTTTGTAAGTTGTGTATTTATAAATCGAGGTATTTTCATATTTGACTCTTTTGGGTGTTAAGCTATAGTTTTTTGAGTCAATGGGAGATACTAGGAATAAAGGAATGAGTTGAATTTGAAAGCAACAAGACCCATCTAGAATGTAAGATCTCTAAAGGAGAACTGGCTTTCTCTCCTCAGCATATCAGTGGTTTGAAAAGAAAAACAGGGGCCTGGGATAACTTTTTAAAGAAACAAACAATGGAACATAAGGAATATTAATAACCAGATGTTAAATCTGGTCCCATTCTGGGAACTTTGACTATAGATTTGCTAAAGGAGAAAGACAGACATTGTTCATTGAGATGGAGGGGTTTCAAAACAACACAGGCATCATGGTCTTGCTTCGGTAAACCATGTATAATGGCTTTGTTATAATGCCGTTCAAGTTGTAGAAAACTGACCATATAAACCTTGAAATTTCAAAATTGTGGACTGCATCGACATTCTGCAATGTTTAAATGATACTGACTTTAAAAGCTAAAACCAGGGCTTTCTGCTGAGTGGTGATAAGCTTCCTTATTTTTAAGCTTTTGCCACATCCATGAGCTCGATTAACCTTTCAGGCTTAAAAAAAAAAGTTTAAAAAAATACCATGCATTCAAAAGCCTTGAGATCTCCTCTTTATTACTGACCCTAAAGGTTCATTTTCTTAGAAACATAACCCAATAAAAAAAGTTGGTGTTTTTTTAAATAACTTTGGAGATCTAAAACAGAAAATACTCATTTTAAGGAAAACTGTGTGATAACTTGTTTGCAGAACCAGTCCAAAATAATGAAATAAAAATATAATGTAGTTTTAATCTGACAGAGCATGTTTTCTTTCTAAAATAATTTGTAATTCAAAGAATTCCTCTGTGATACTTGTCACATTCTTTCTCCTAACTGAACTTTTCAAGTAACCATTAGAATATTTCAAGGAAAATTTAAATACTGAGAATTGAGGCTATCACTGAGTTTTAATTTAATTTTATTTGTTTAGTTTTTGGGCTTTTTGGGTCACACCTGGCATTGCACTCAGAAATTACTCCTGGCGGTGCTCAGGGGTCCAGATGGGACGCTGGGAATCAACCCAGGTTGGCCGCATGCAAGGCAAACGCCTTACCCACTGTATTATCGCTCCAGCCCCTATCACTGAGTTTTTAAAACGTGAATATCATACTTTAGTTAAGAAGAATCTTACAAATTTAAAGACACTTCACTAAAAAAATTACTGTATTCTACTTTCTCTAAATGGAGTCTAGGTCTACATGATTCTTACATACTCTTAGATATATATACATTGTTATACCTAACAATTTATATTACAATTCCTTGACATGAATTTTAAGATGAATTTATTATTATTCATTATAATTTTTTGGCATGAATTTTAGGAAGGTGTTCAGGCCAGAGTGATAGTACAGTAGGTAGGGTGTCTGCCTTGCACGCAACTGACCAGGGTTCAATCCCTGGCACCTGATATGGTCCCCCTGGCACAGCAAGGAGTGATCCATGAGAGTAGAACCTGGAGTAATCCCTGAGCACAGCTGAGTGTGGTTCCCCCTCCAAAAAAAGAGTATTGTTCAAAAGATAATTGAACTAAGTGGTTCAAACAACATCTATTCAGCAATTATGATGTACGGCAAGTATGGCATATTTATTTCTATCCCCAAAGGCCAGCTTAGGAAGACATGTGCATAAAAAGTAATACTGCTAGGAGATAGTAACTGTGAAAACAGAGACGAGAGGAGAAAGCCTGTAATTCTCCCTTTACTTTCTAAGGTATTAAGCAAAACTTCAACGAAAGAGGTAAACACGTTCCAAACTAGGATTCTGGTACTCATCATTTCCTCTGCCTGCTTGTCTCCCAGATATCGTCGCTGTGTCATTGCTTCCATGTCAGTGAGAGAAAAAACTTTCTCTCACCATCCTGTGTAGAATAGCAGTTTTCACTCCATAGTTCGATAGGTCTT